GTGTTTTCTTATTTTAAGTGTAAATTGTCTTGTTTCATTGGCAAAGTGCATCTTTTACCTCCTCAATTCAAGAAAAAATGCACTTATTTTAAGAAAAAATTACTTATCGACATTTGGATTTTTTCCAGTGTGCAGACCTTCCCTCACACTGCAAAAAGTTTAAATCTAAATAAGTCCTTTTTTTATTTTAAAATAAGTGCACATTTTTTAATTAGGGGGGTAAGTGAGATACTTTGCAAATGAAACAAGACAGTTTAGATTTAAAATAAGAAAATTGCATTGTTTTATTTCAAGTGCATCATATCTAAGACTAAACATACTATTTCAATTGGCAGATCATCTTATTTACCTACTCAATTTAAGGGGAAATAGACTTATTTTAAGACATTTTGGTTATTTCTAGATTGTTTTTGCAGTGCAATCCATCTGGTTCATCCATCTATTTCCTGACAGGCTTTAATCCCTGCTGGGGTGGCGAGGGGTGCTGGTGCCTATCAGGGTCCACCCTGGACTGGTCTCCAGTCCATCGCAGGGAAAGATCGCAGAATCAAACCCAGAACCTTCTTGCTGCAAGACAGCAGTGTTACCCACTGATCAACTGAACAGTCCCAAAAGCTGTCTGGTGTTTCAGTTTTATTCAACTCAGCTTAGTGCAACTTCAATTTTAACTTGCACATAAAATTTAAGTGCAACTAACCCCATCGAAAGGATAATGTAAAATACTTGAAGTTTATCCTGCAAATTCTGAATGAATCTCATTGCTTTAAATGTGCTTAATGCTGGTGAAGATTCTCAGTCATCTAGATCAGTCATTCCAACAAAGTTAAAAAATAATCTACTGGACTTTGTTTGCAAGTTTGAAGACGTTTCTCTTCCATCCAGGGAGCTTTTTCAATTCCAAATGTCGGGAATAGCGTTGAGTTCCAGGTTTTATTAAAGCGTTTTTCATGTTCCCTGCAGATCTTTGCTCAACTCTTCTGCTATAAAGACAAATGTAACTGTTCTGGTTGCAGCACATGTTCTGAGAGGGAACTGCATGAGTTTAGGGATCGTCCCCAGAGGAGGATGAGGGAGCCCAGCAGGAGGCCCAGCAGGAGGTCAGAGCGAGTGGCAATGATCACAGGTGGGTAGTAACTAGTTACATTTCTTTAAATAACTTTTGTTATGAGTAATGAGTAGTTTTACTGCACTGTATCTTTATTTGTAATTCATTAATGAAGAACTGCTTCCTGATTAATTATTGATCATCCTGATCTATCTCTATAGTTCTGCTGCTATAGGCTTAGACTGCTGGAGGACA